GAACTTGCAACAATCCTCCTGCCTCAGCCTCCCGAGTGCTGGGATTACAGGCATACACCACTATGCCCGGCTCTAGCTATAAATTCTGCATAAGGTTCATTAGCACTTTGAATGACCTGCACCACAGAGGGAACAGTTTGGCCAGGAGAAGCAACCTTTTCCCATGCTTGGAGACAACACATTTTTGCTTGGACAATTGCATTATCATCATATTCTACCTGCTGATCACTGCCAAACCAATCACCAGAGCCCATGAGTTGGTCCACAGAAATAGGAACTGGTGGATTGGCCTGGGTATTACAGCGGACCATTAATTTTGTCTCATCTTTCCACCAAGTTTTTTTTAAAAATTTTTTTTCCACCAAGTTTTAAATTGAAGGAATTCAGCTGGACTGAGAGCTGTGTGTCCAATCATTTCCCAACCCCATGGAATTAAGCGGTCAGATTGAGCTAATCTTGCAATCAACCCAAAGGTATAAGGAGAATTCACTCCACATGAAACATAAGCTTTCTTCAATTCTTTAAAAGATAATGGAGCATGATTATGTTGAACATAACCTTGGGGATTTTCCTCATCACCCGGTAGTTCAGTAATTGTAACTGGGTACACAGCGAAAGCCTTACAAACATCCAAATCTCCTTCCTGTTGGGCTTGGGTAAAAACCTTTATGACTGTAGTGATGCCTCATGGTTTCTGAACAGTTAATTGAGGTGGATTCCTAAAAGGGTTAGACTTAGCATATATTGGGGCTGAGGGCTGTACCAGATATGCCTGAGAGACAAAAGAGGGAGGTGGAGGAAAATTTAATTTCTTTTTCTTATAGTCAATATTGAATAAGGCAGGTTTTAAAGTAGCAGAAAGATTTCCAAAAGATCAATACCTTCTTTCACCCATTGGTCCCTGACCCTGAAGCAGCAGAGTCTTCTCAGGTAAATTATTATCTGATTCAGAATCGAAGCTGTCTTTGCCTTTTTTATTTTTCATGTCCTGTAAGATCTCCCGTTATAATTTAGATTGCATGGGCTCTAAAGCCAAGGCTATTAAATTACACAGAGACCAAACCTGTAAAGGAATAGAGAGCCAGGGGCTGGGGATTTAGCTCAGTGGCAAAAGCGCCTGCCTGGCAAGCACAAGATTATGAGTTCGGTTCCCGGTACCGGAGAAAAACCAAAACCAAAAAAAAAAAAAAGAAAAGAAAAAAAAAAAAGGAATAGAGAGCTGGAACAACAGAAGCCTGAGAAAACCAAAAGACAGGAACACAAAGTGGACCACCATGGGAACCCCACGAAGGGGAGCCCTCGCTACGACCCTCACCCTGGAGGCGCACTTCCCAGAGACCCCCAAATAAAAAACCCTGGTTTGCCTGAGAAGCTAAAAATGTATATATTTCATATTAACATAAATAAAAGCTATATTCTTTTTAAGATATTATATGAATACAATAATATATTATTTTATACAATAAAACAAAACAAAGGGTTCTGCAGTTACAGGAGGAAATACAACTATAAAGCCCAAGAGGCAGGAAGATCCCTGAGCTCAAGGCCAGCCTGTACTGCATAGTGAAACCCTGTCCCCAAAAGACAAAATAAATAAATAAATAATTGGCACCCGTGTCCCATAAACACAGTTGATGTTATCTTGTTCTCATAGGACTCATGAGGCTCCGTCTTCTTTCAAGGCTAGGTTATTGTTGTGGTTTGTGTCTAGACGTCCCCCCAAAGCCTTATGTGGTCACCGAGCTTTTTCGGAGGTAGCTGAGTCTAGAGTTTGTGATAGGCTGGCAGTGCAACGCTGGGATTAAGGGTGGGTGACTGCTGGATCAGTCCACTGCCTGGACTGGCACCGCCCTAATCCCGGCAGTCTGCATAAGACAAAAGGGGCAAAAAGAGGCTCGTTCCCCCTTTTTTGCTCCTGATGCTCTTGCTGTCCTCTGCCACCATGAACTGGTGCCCCTCTGCCATGTGCCACCCTGCCTTGGAGCCAGCTGATTATGGACAAAACCTCTATAAACGGTGAGCCAAATAAACCTCTTCTCCCTTAACTTGGAGCATCAGGTATTTTGTCTCAGCAACGAGGAAAGCAACTAAGACAGTTATTAACTGCTTGGTTTTGCTTCTGCACCCTCACCTGCCCCCCCACCCCCACCCTCGTTTCTAAAGACCATCCTCTTCAGCCAAATGTATAAAACTAGAACCTTTCCAGCACTTCAGATGTGAATTTGGCTGGGTTGATGTGCATCTAAAATGCCGGAAATAAATCCTCCTCTTTCCTCATTGGTCTGTCTGATCTCTTGGATTCTGCAACCCTGCACGAGTTGGTGCTGTCCCCATGGCTCCTCTGGGACTGGCAGTTGGAAGGCGGTGCTGGTCTCCCCGACGTCTGCCCGGTGCTGCTTGTCCTTTGGCTCATTTTTTTGTATTTTTTCTGGAACCTGGAATCGAACTCACGACCTCATACTTGCCAGGCAGGTGCTGTGCTGCTGAGCTAAATCCCCAGCCCCCTTTGGCTGATTTTAATCCCCACTGTTTTGCTGCTATTCACAGTATCTGTGAGTAGACAAGTGTTTCTGAGCTCTGTTGCGTCCTTAGTGGAACTTGTGCTGTCCACTGCCCTGGGGGACAGAGTCACATCTTGACATCTGGCGGGAGATGAGACCCATCCTTTTGGAAGCACCTTCAGCCATTGCAGTGGGGTCCAGCCAGTCCCTGTGTCGCTCAGTCACTACGTGTCACCTTGGTCCTCTGTTGGTGTCACACTGGCCATTCACCACTGAATACCTGACCTAGATGGGAGAGATTCATGTTAGCCTTGGAGCTCTCTGGAATAAAATTAGAATCTTTGCACTGACATGAAAAGTTCGGAAAGCTGCCCCCTGCCCGGCCCCTCTCCCTGGAAGCCAGGGCAGGGCTCCCCAAGGAGTGGTGACTGAGGGGGACACATAATAAAACGCAGAGCTCCAGCTGCAGCAGACCTGGCTCCTAGGGGCTGTGCTTCAGCAAATAAACTCTGGGTGGCAACAGATGCTACCTGAGGTGGCAAGAAAGATCCAGACCCTCAGTGCTGCCCTGTGCGCACCTGTCTGTCTGTCTGTCCCCTCCTTGTGAGTGACCTGGCCGAGGGTCTGTGATTCTTAGAGACCCCTCGCCCTTTCAGCGCCCTGCCACGCTCACCCTGTCCACTCACCCTGTTTGTCCCGTTGGCACTGTACATCCTGTTCTTACTGTTCGCTCTGTTTGCGTTGTCTGCCCGGTTTGCACTATTCGCTGAGGAGCTGGATAGGCACCAATCTGGGGAGAGGCGGGAGACGCTCTCAGGAAGGACGGCATGCTGGGGTGTCCGTGCCCCACAATCCTACACCCATCTCTGTGGTAGACACTGAGGGGATGGCCCCCACGGCTATTAAACAGGGATGGAGCATGCACTATCTGAGAAGCTGGCATCCAGTTATCCGCTTGCTTACGAAACGGAAACAAAATATTTTTTGTGGCCAGGTGTGGTGGTGCACACCTGCAACCCCAGCTCTCAGGAGGCTGAGGCAGGAGGATAGCCATGAGTTCGAGGCTCCTAGGGGCTGCCTGAACTACATGGTGAGACCCTGTCTCAAAAAAAATTTTTTTGGACTGAAACCTGTAAGCTAAATAAAGCTTTAAGCTAAATAAAGCTTTAAGCTAAATAAACTGTAAGCTAAATAAACCTTTTTTCTCCTTAAAATTTTTTTTTGTATGTGCATAGGCTCTGAAGTCCCATCTCTGTCTTTTAGGACCTGTGTGAGCTTGGACCCAGGGACTTAACCTCTCTGTGCCTGTTTCTTCAATTTCAAACAGGCTTATTCAGCAGACAGTAAATGTCCGCCCTGCATCGGGTCCACCTGAGGTGCTGATACAGCTGTGAATGAAACAGAAATTCCCACTAGTGGATTTTTAATAATAATTATATTAGGAAGAGCAATCGTAATTACAGTTAATATGCAACTCAGCATGCGGCCTGAAACGGGGCATGTGCTGTGTTAACGTGTCACCCGTATTACTAAGTAGAGTTACTTCCACTTTTTTTGGCCTCAGACTTGAAGTGATCCTCCTGCCTCAGCCTCTTGAGTGCTGGGATCTCAGGCGTGTGCCACCAAGCCCAGCTCCCAGCAAACATTTCTCTTATGTGCTCTTCCTGTACTGGTCCTGGTATGGGGTGGTGTGGGAGACCCAGCCATGACTCAGACAGCCCAGCCTTGCCTTGCGGGGCTCCCAGTGTGCTGGGCCAAGGTGGGGCAGAGCCAGGAGTAGGTGCCTGGTCCACTCTGGGGCATGCTGGGACTTCCTAGAGGAGGGGCATCTGGATGGGAGGTGAGGGGCTGGCTTTGTTTCTTGGCTGAGAGAAAAGCTTTCTGATCAAAGCCCCGTGTCACCTGGATTGAAAGCCGAAGTCCTGATTGTCCATCACGACCCGCTCTCTTTCCCTAAATGTTCGTCAAGTGAACTCAAGGGTAAGACTCCCCGGGCTCCAGTTCTTATCTGTCCAGTGGGGGAAACTTCAGGGTTTGGGGAGGGTGCTCCGTGAGAGGCTGCGTGTGGGGGCTGTGGAACCAGGGCCGGCACTGCACACAGTAGGTGCTGCGCTGCGGGGGTTCGGGTGACACGAGGCGCGGGGCGCAGGTGGGGAGGCAGGGACTCACCGAAGAGTCTGCGGCGACAGAGAAACAGGATGATCACAACAGCACCTAGAACCAAGACACCGATGACTGCGCCGGTTGCGATGGCTGCGGTGTAGTCTGGCTGCTTCCCAAGAGGCGGTCCTGGAAGAGAGGAACAGACATTTAGGTAAGAAACTCCTAGCCTACCCCCCGCCCTTTACTGTTGTCATGACCCGCACTTCCTCTAGGGGGCGCCCGCCTGCCTGCTTATTCCCTGGTTGTTTCTAACCGTCCTGAAAGTCAGAGTGCTTCTGAGTGCTGGACGGGGTAAACAACTACCTTTCCTCTTTAGCCAAATTGTGAGTAAATGAATTTTCCCATTTATAGACTTTTTAATCATACTTTTGATAGTGGGCAGGTGAAGAGACCCGGACAGTTGGGACCCAGGTTCAGGCCTCTGACCAGGGCCCTTAGTGACACTAAAGTTTTGGCCAGAGCTATTGAAAGTGGTGTTTCTAGTCCTGGGATTGCAAAATGGGTGGGATGTTAGCTCCTGCAGCCGCTGAGAGTGCAGGAATCAGAGAATAAAGCTTACCTGAGAGTAAAACCAGCATTAAGAAATCAGAGATAAGCAATGTAAAGAAAAGTTCTTTTCTTTACATTGTTGGATTATAGATCTAGGTTGGAGCACCTAGATCTAACCATTCCTGAAGGTGTATTTTTAAATAATATTCTTTGTTGTGGGGTAGGGGGGGCTTGGATTCCTTTGAGTCAGGCGTCTGTCACCTGCAATCAGAGCTCTGCCTAAGACCCTAGGAAAGGCCTTTTTGGAGCCCCTAGGAAAGAGGCATCCACCACTGCCCTGGCCTGTGCTGGCGGAGGGAGTGTATCCAGGGGGCTGAAGGATGGCAGTGGTGGTACAGGTAGTGGGTTTACAGTAAGTGAAGTCCTTTCCTGACAGGGCCTGGCTGAGGCACGGGAGTCATGGTGGGATTCTGCAGCCAGGCCCCACACCCAGACCTCCACCTGCGGGCCGTCCTGCTGCCACACCCCCTTCGGTGGGCCTGACCCCTCCTCCCAGCTCCTCACCTTTGAGCTGGATGGTCAGCTCCCCCTGGCCTGTCCCTATGGTGTTGGTGACCAGGCAAATGAAAGTTGTGTTGATGGACTCATCAACCGTTCGGATCAGGAGCCGCCTGCCCTGGGCCTCGGCAGAGCGTGGCAGGGTTCCCGTGGTCCTGGGGGAGACAGCAGGTGAGGAAGCGGCCTCTGCTGGGCCCTTGTGACAGTGACCACGTACTGGCTACACATGCAGCCTCCCGCAGTATATGCCACAGCTTGGAAGCAATCCCGAGGCCTCCCTCAACCCCCGCTCCTCTCCAGCCACGTCCCAGCCATCAGCAGATCCTGCCGACCCTGCCTTCCCAACCCACGGGGAATCCCAGCCTGCTCAGGGCCAACGGGCCACGGGTCAGTGTGGCCTCCCCTGGCCCCATCTGTCCCCACGTGGCCACCAGGGGGCGCCCGCGACCCAAGTCGGCTCAGCTCCCTCTGCTCAGAGGACTGTCCGCATCCTGACCCCAGCCGACCCTCTGCATCCACCCCCAGGCCTTCACTCGCACTGTCTATCATTCTCTGCTTCCTCATCTGTACCCACAGTGGCCTCTGGGTTGAGCCTCAAGCCCTCTAGATGTGCTTCCAGGCCGTCTGCAAATGCTGTCCCCCCAGGTGCCCGCCCGGCTTGCCCTCCCCTCCTTCAGGCCTCTGCTGAGGCCCGTCCGGGGCCGCTGTTTCTCCATCTTTTCCTCTGGCTCAACTTTTCAAACTGTATTTATCCACCTTTGGCGGTGCTGGGGAAGGAAGCAGAACAACACGCTGGGAGCTAAGGCCCTGGCCCTCCTGCGTTTAGGTCCCCAGGACAGTCAGTGCTCTGGCTTGTCCAGACCGCCCCCAGAAGCCTCCTGTGGTCACAGCGGGGCTTTCTCAGAGGTGGCTGGGTCTAGCATGCGTCAGGCTGGACTCATGGGGCAGGGCTAGGCTCCAGGGCTCCAGGGCTAAGGGTGTGGGTGCTGCCCGCCCTAAGTAGAAAAGATAAAAGGGGCAGAAAGGCTAAGGTCCCTTGTTGCCTTGGCTACCTCGTGAGCACCGTGTTCTCTGCGGTGCCCCTCTGCCTTGGAGCCAGCTGGTGACAGACAGAAACCTCTGCAAGCCGTGAGCCAAATAAACCTTTGCTCCTGTAACTTTGAGTGTCAGGGATTTTGTCTCAGCAACGAGAAAAGTAACTAAGACATTCATAGCCAGGGATATAGCTCAGTGGCATAAGCGCCTGCCTGGCAAGCGCAAGGTCCTGAGTTTGATTCCCGGTACAAAGAAAAGATACGGAAAGGTGTTCACAAGACAGAGGGAAGGTTTCAAGAGCTCACGTACAACACTATTCTAGTTTGGGTTTGGGAACAAAAAATGATAGGCAAGACATAACAAAAGGTAACAGATATTTCTGGAGGTGGCTGGAAATATTTACTGACTACTGAGGAGCTATTTCCTTGTTTTTGCTCCTAACTGTATTGTTTGAAGGTTCTGCAATGGTCATAAGTTATTTTTGTGATAAGGAAAAGGGTCCAATAAACACTCCGAAAAATAATAATAGATGGGGGTAGTGGCACACACCTGTAATCTCAGACTCAAGAGGCTGAGGCAGGAGGATGGCCCCAAGTTCGAGGCCAGCCTAGGCTACATAGCAAGTGCAAGGCCAACCTGCGCTACATAGTGAGACCTTGTCTCAGAAAAAAAAAAAAAAAAAAAAAAAGAAAAGAAAATCATTAGGGCTGGGGCCGGAGCTCAGTGGCACTGCCCTTGCCTAGCACGTGTGGGACCTTGGGCTGCACCCCAAACACCAGACTGAGCTTCCAGCTGGTGACAGGGGAATGGCACAGGCCAGGGGCTGGAAGATTCAAGTTCGGAGCCAGACAGAATTTAAGAGTGTTGTTGACTTTGTTTTTATCAGGTTGGGCATGGAGAGCCCAGGGTCTTGCACATGGGTGGCACTTGGCCCAGCCCTGTAGCTGACCTTTAACCGGGCAGTGATGGCTGTCAGCGTCATGTGGCAGGGCTGGTATTCAGCTCAGGATGGTAGGGTGGAGACCAGACATTAACAGCCCAGACTAAATACCTCCCGGCACAGCGACGGCAGCCTGGCCTGTGCTTGTCCACTTTCTTTCTTTACTTTGCTCTGTTCTGCTCCCTACTCAGACCCAGCCTCCGCCCTCAGGCCCGGGGGTCCCAGCCCAGCCTCCACCCTCAGACCCAGGTCACTAAACTCACGTTTTCCAGACCACGTTCTCGGGCTCTGGGTTGCTGTGCACCTCACAGCTGAGGGTCATGTTTTCGCGGCCGATGTACCAGTTGTCGTCGTAGCCAGAGATGGACACCTCGGGCAGGTCTGCAGGAACAACACAGGCTCAGGCATGGGGAGCCTACAGAGCAGCTGTGGAACTGTGGGCTTCCTGAGTGGGATGGGGAGCAGCTGAGCAAAGGGGACTGGGAGGAGCCCAGGGCCATGGGTTCCTTCAGAGAGCAGAAGCCTGGGCATCCTCAGACAGGGCACACCAACGGGGCTTCTCAGGACCTGCCTTTCTCTGCCCATTTTCCTGGGTAGCCTCATCCCGGCCTGCCTTAATATTCAAGGCTCTGACAAGTCCTGCAGGAAGGAGCCCCCTGCTTCTCTGCCCCAACGTGATGGAAGGGGACGCTTTCCTAAGTCCTCAGGGGCCAGGCCAATGGGCCAGGGCTGTCTGAGTAGTGGGAAAGAGGCGGGCACAAGTTACCACCGATGTCCTCCTCCCTCACACCCAGTGACTGTGGAGGGAGCCTGGGGACGAGCTGCCCGATGGGAGCAGCCAGTGTAGCCAGGGCCAGGAGGGACAGTGCAGAGTGCCTGGAAGAGCCTGTGCGGGTACCGCTGACGGGCACCGCGCAGACACGGCGCTGGGAAAGCAGAGAGGCCGCTGCTGTGGAGAATGCAGTCATTCCTGGGGGAGCCGGGGTGACCATGCTAGGGGCCGCGGCAGCACAGACAGCTCCCCAGGGAGTCCGGGAGAGGCAGACAGGCCACAAGCGAGCACATCTCTGCAGTCGCCGGCGCGGAGGAGGTGGGAGCTCAGACCTGTGCTGTCCAGCACCACAGCCACCAGCCACCCTCGATCCCTGGACACCTGGGACATGGCTGGTCTGAAATCCACACCGATTGCAAAGGCTTGCGATGGGAAGAAGAATGTGAAAGATCTCCAGGGTGATTTTTAAAAACCAATTACTTGTTAAAATGGTGACACTTTGGCTATATCGATTTCCATAAAATCCACTATGAAAATAAATTTTCTCTGTCTCTGTGTCTCTCTGTCTTTTGGTAGTGTGGGGATGGAACCCAGGGCCTTTGTGTGTTACATAAATGCTCTACCATTCAGCTGCACTCCCATCCCTTTTTATTTATTTTTATTTGTTGTTTTGATACCAGGAATCAAAGTCAGGACCTTGTACTTGCCAGGCAGATGCTTGTGCCACTGAGCTATAGCCCTGGCTCCCCCTTTTTATTTTTGAAACAGGACCTCACTAAATTGCCCAGGCTGGACTTGAACTTGAGATCCTCCTGCCTTAGCCTCCTGTGTAGCTCCCATTGCAGCAAGTCACTTTAGTCAGCTCCGTGTCTTTCTTTTTTTTTTGTCTTTTTGAAACAGGGTCTCACAATGCAGTTCAGGCCGGCCTTGAGCTCACTTTGTAGCCCAGGCTGGTCTCGAACTCACAACAATCCTCCTGCCTCAGCCTCCCAAGTGCTGGGATTATAGGCGTGCGCCACCAGGCCCGGCTTCATGTTTTTCTTTCAACTGTCCTTAGATGGATGGCTGGTGGAAAACTGAAAACCACGCCTGTGGCTGCATCCTCCTGCTGCTGGTCAGTGCAGGTTAGAGTCCCAGGGCTGTGACTGCGGCTAACTGTCTGGGTACTGATGCTGGCGATATCCTACGGGCAGCTGAGGGATGACCTGGTGCGGGAGGCCCGGGGCAGGCAGTGTGGGGCCGTGTAGACAGAACACAGGGAGACAGCACAGGCTGTGGGAGTGGATCAGACAGCCCACGGAGCAGCCAGTGTAGCCCGCAGCGGGTGGAGGAGAGTGTAAACAATGAGAAAAATGGGGGGCAGCTCCGGAAAGCAGCTGGTGTAGACAGAATGGGGGGGTCCAGTGTAGACGGCACTGGGGGACACGTCAGAGAGCGCCGGGGAGAACCAGCGTGGAGAGTGTAGGGTCGGGGGCCAGTGTGGACGACACAGAAACAATGACAGCCCCCCACAGCCGGGCCGATCAGCGAGTGTGGGCAGTGCTGGCCCACGTGGGGGTGCAGCACAGACAAAGGGAGCGGTGCAGACGCCGGGGAAGGCAGCGCGGACGGTCGTGTGTGCCGTCCATGCTGAGGACACCGCATGGGCAGTGTGGCCTTGCGCTGTGGACGCCTGAGGGAGGGTGGCGCTGCCTGTGGCACAGGAGCTGCGGCGGAAGGAGGCGGCGCTGTCCGTGCGCCAGGGCAGCGGGTGCAGACAGCGGGGGCGGGGGTGCAGGGCCATCGCCCGTACTCACAGGACACGGACAGGGTGACAGGCAGCAGGGCCGGCTCCTCCAGACTCTCGTGCTCCACTCTGCACGTGACATTCTTGCCACTCGTGCGGCTGGAGGGCACCATGGACAACAGGCTGGTGACGGTGACTGTGCCCAGCAGGGGCCCTGGCTCTTGCTCTTGCTTCCCGCTGGTCATCGCATTTGAGTCATCGAGGGCCCAGGAGACCTGGGCGGGCGGCCGGCCCCTCTCAGAGATGCAGAGGGCCACGGGCACCCGCTCCCCGGAGATCAGGCCTGGAGACACCTCCTGCAGCTCCACCCTGTTCTGTGGAGGGACTGGGAGAGGGCGACAGGGACAGGTCACCTCCTGCCGGCGGCCACGGGCGGGGGGGGCGGGGTTATCCGAGGACACAGGACGGCCAGGCTCAAATCCCAGCCCTATCCCTGGGCAGCTAGGTGGCCTTGGACAAGCCTGTGCCTCAGTCTCCTTAACTGTCCACCTCAGATAATGAAGGGGTTATGGGCAAAGAGAAGAGGTGGGGGACGTTGTTAGAGTGGCCCTGGGCAGGTAAGGTGCTCGGTAAACACGGCTTGGTGGCCGTGCCGGGGACCCAGCCACACGCAGCAACCCCGGGCCCTGCCCTTGTGGGGTGCCTGTGCAAGCAGGGGCGCTGTTCCGGACACAGATGACCCGGAGGTGGGAAGAGCTGCAGGACACAGTCTGCTGCGGAGGGCCGGACCTGGGGTCCCGGGCAGGGGACCCGCCCAGTGTCACACAGCTGCGAGCCACAGAGTCAGGCTTTCCAGCACACGGGGTCTGTCAGACTCCAAGCCCCTGGTCGCTGCAACGGCCCCACCTGGGCCGGGCTTCCCTCTGGGCCTCGCTTCCCTCTGGGCCTCCCCCACTTCCTGTGCTTCCTGGCTGATGATTTCACCTCCTCCTGACTCACTGACAACGGGAGCCCTTCCCAGCCGGGCCGTGTCCCGCACACTTCTCGGCACTTGACATTTCACGAGTGACTCATGGGAAGGCACGGGACAGTTTGGAACACAGAAGGGGACCGGGACGGGGTGACAAGGGAGACCGAGGCACACAGGCCTCCTGCTCCAGTTCCAAAAGGAAGGCCTGTCAGATTTCTGGTGCTCAGCCCATTCAGGAGAAACCACTAGCCATGGTGGGCACACCTGTAATCTCAGCGCTCTGGGAGGCTGAGGCAGGAGGATCCTAAATTATAGCCCAGCCAGGCAACTTAGCAAGAACCTGTTTCAAAATTTAAAATAAATAAATAAATAAAAAATGTCTGGAGCTGTGTGAAGGTGCTGGGTTCAATCCCAGTAACCCCTAAAAGAAAGGGGGGTGCGGAAGAAACCCGTGCCCAAGACGTGATGGAGGAGGGCTGCAAGCTCGGCTTCCTGCCCAGCTCCTTCCGGCCCCCTCACACTGCCCTTCCCCGCAGTGTTCGGCGCTCAGTCCCAAGGTCCGCCCTCCGCAGGGTCTCTGCTCCCTCGGGGCCTGCAGCCCGGGCCTCAGGGGTCTGCAGGGGGCCCGTCCCCAGCCCCTAGCCCCTCGCCCCGCCCAGGCTCACCGCGCACGCGCAGCTGGGTTTTTCCGGCGGCACTCCCCTGAGGGAAGGTGGAGATGTGGCATACGTAGGTGCCTTCATCCTCGACGCGCAGCTCCGACACCGTCAGGCTGGCATCTGTAAGGTCTCCGCCGACCGTGGCAGCCAGGAACTTCACCCGCGGGGGCTGGTTGGGGTCCCTGGACTCCTTGACTTTGAGCCCTTCCTGGGGGTGGAAGACGGCCACAGAGACGAGAGGCTGGTCCTGCTTCTGAAACTCCCAGGTGAGCTGGGTCACCCTGGTGCCTGGCTGCAGTGACTGCAGCTGACAGGGCAGCGTTGCGTTCTCACCCAAGAGGCCGAGCACCTGGGGAAGCATCTGCACACTCAGAGTATCCGTGCCTGCGGGGAAACCGGGGGCACCAATTATAGGTGGGGAAGCTGAGGCACAGAATGGCTTGATACAGAGGTCACCAGGGTAAGCAGGCAAGTGGGATTTGAACCCGGGCTGTCTGTACTCAATCTAGTTGGCCCTATCTGGAAGTCTTCGTGCCTTCAGCCCAGCGCCTAGTAAAAGCTAGCCTGTGTTAGCTTTTACTGATGTGAGTAAACCTAATACCGTGCATTCTTATTACTGATCAGAAGGTGGGAAGGAGGCAGATTCTCAGAGCTCCAGCCCTCCCCGCCCTTGTGCGGGTGCGTTTTGTCTTCTCAGCCTGTAACATGGGTGCAGTGGTTTGGACCTTAAGTGTCCCACCAAGGTCCATGCAGTAGAAGCTTGGCCTCTTTAAGAGGTGGGATTTCAAGTCCTGAGCACAGCCACACTCCTGTAATCCCTGCACTCTGGGAAGCTGAGGCAGGAGGATTACAGCCTGAGTAATTTGAGCTCAGCCTGGGTAAGTTAATTTAGCAAGACACTGTCTAAAAAAAAAATAAATAAATAAAAGTTTTTAAGGCTGTAGCTCAGTGAGAAGACCCCAGGTTCAATCCCTAGTGATCCAGAAGATAGGATGAGGCAAAGCTGGCTGGGAAAATGAGCGGGACCTGTCAATTACAAGATCCCAGGACAGCGCCCAATAATTCTCAGGATCCTGTACGTAGAACTTCTCTCAGGCTCCCACAAGATGTGGATGGCGTAAAAAAAGACCTAACCCTGCGGGGAGCTCCCTACTGTGGCTTCCAACGATAGCTCATGCTGCATTTCTCAGATACAGAGTGTACTTGTATTCTGTTTTTATCTTTTTCTTGTGCTGCCCAAGTTCACTCTGCAGAGCTGGTTTCTCCCACACCATTCACCCCTCACCCCCTAACTTTCTTTTTTTCTTTCTTTCTTTCTTTCTTTCTTTCTTTCTTTCTTTCTTTCTTTCTTTCTTTCTTTCAGGACAGGGTCTCCCTGTGTAGTTCAGGCTGGCCTTGAACTCACAGTGATCCTCCTGCCTCAGCCTCCAGAGTGCTGGGATTAAGAGCCTGCACCACCACACCCAGCCACCCTTCACTTTTCAAATAAACTTTTGTCACTGCTTTTGGCTTGTCTCATACAATTCTGTTTGCCCAAGAAAGACTTGGAATACTTCTGATTGGTGGGCTATTTCTAAGGAAGCTACCTGATATTAGTAGTACTGAAAGAAAAGAGGGGTGGGGTCCGGTGTGGGGGGTCTTTAGGTCACTGGAGGGGTGACCCAGAAGGGACTTCAGGACTCTGGTTTCTCCCATTTTTTTTCTCTTGCTTCTAGACCATGAGGTGAGTGGTGGTTTTGTCCCATCATGCCCTGCGCACTAAGATACGCTGTCTCCCACCGGCGGAGAACAGTGTGGCCAGTCACCACGGCCCAGAACCTCCGAAACTGTGTGCCCAGCTAGACTTCCCCCCCTTTTTTATTCTGGTACTGGAAATCGAACTCACGACCTTGAGCTTGCCAGGCAGGCGCTCTGCCGCTGAGCTAAACCCCCAGTCCCTAGACCGACCCTCTTATAAGTGGACTGGTTTAGGGATCCGCTGTGCGGACAGAGAGCTGGCTGACGCGGTGCACATAGCAAGGGACGGCATCAGGAAGGCGAGGTGATGAAAGGTGCATAGCGCCGGTACACGGCGTCGACCTCGGGGCTCCATTGTGGTGAATATTAACTAGCCCTGGGTCATGAGGAGCCGGGGAGGAAGCTGGGGGCAGTGCTCACGGTGCCTGGTGCTGCCGGGCGAAGGCGGACTGCACAGGACACAGGGACTGTGGGGCGGATGGTGATGTGCGGGTCTGGGGCCTGGGTTGGGCTTTGAGTCCCTGAGTCTGCCCCAGCTCCCTGTGGCTCTGGAAGATCACGCCCGTCTCCCAGCCTTGCCAGTCAGGACCGCCTTGGGCACGGAACCGGATGAGGTTGGCTGGCCGGGTGTGGTGGTGCATGCCTGTATCCCAGCCCTCTGGGAGGCCGAGGCATGAGGGCTGCAAATTCAAGCCCGGCCTGGGCAATTTAGCGACTTAACAGAAACCTTGTCTCAAAAGTAGGGGGCAGGGATGTGACTCAGTGTAAAGGCCCCGGTTCAATCCCTATGCTGAAGAAAAAGAAAGAAAAGGAGATGGGATGGGGTGACAGGACCTGAAGACTCCTCCAACCAGGTCCGCGGCCCTAGAACAGCCACACGGGTCCTCGCACTCCATTGGACAGAGGGAAGCACGCGAGGCAGGGGGAGGTCACTGCCGGCGGGGTGGGGGGACTCCCTCTATTCATTCAGCCGGGCTACTTCCTGCCGTACCCGCTCCCCGGCTCCCCGATTCCCCTTCCCGGGAATCTCCCCAGGGCTGGGTCTGGCCTTCCAAGTGTTCTGCGGGGCACCTTCAGGGAGAGACCACAATGAGGAACTCGGCCCTCTGCGCGCAGTGCTCTCACCGTTCGCGGAGCCGTCATCGCCGTTGTCAGGGCGGGTGACATACCCACCTCTCCTCCCACCCCGCCCAGGAAGGAAAGGGTTAGGTCACTAGTATTAAAGCCAAAAGCTCAGCCCCAGTGGGCGCTGCACCCCGAGTGCTTGGAACACCGCCCCGGGTACACCAGGCGAGAGTGCGTGGGGACGGTGGCGGGAATTTGAAAGAATAAGGCCGGCCCTAGTTACAAGCCTGTACTCCCAGCATTCTGGGAGACTGAGGCAGGAGGATCACAAGTTCGAGCCCAACCTGGGCAGTGACGACGCCCTGTCTGAAAATAAAATAATTTTAAAATGGGGGTCGGGGGAGATGTCGCTCAGTGCCAAGAACCTCGGTTCAGTCCCCAGTACCAGGAAAAGGGAGAATGAAAGAAAAGCCGGGCCTGAAGTCGGCCAGCTTGTCGGAGCAGCTGGTGGGGCGAGCTACAGCTATTTTTATCCGCGGAGTCAATCCTTCCTGGAAGCGGAGTTCCTTCCTCCAATCTCGGCCCCCAAGTCCTCCACTTTCCCCGCCGCCGGGAGGCCCGGTGCTGGCCGGCCGGTGCCCTGCACGCCGGGGAGCGGGGCTGGCGGCCGAGGCAGGTGGCGGGGACGACACTCACCGGCTCCGGGGGGCACCCAGGAGAGCAGCCACAGCAGCGGCAGCAGCGGCAGCACGGCGCGGGCCATGCTAGGTCAGGCAGGGGCGGCCCGGAGAGCGGAGACCGAGAGGCACGCTGCTGCCCGGGGCCCTGCCCTTGAAAGCTTGGCCCGGGCGCTGCCCGGCGCGGCTGTCAGGCCCTCAGGGGGCGGGGCTGGGCGGGGCTTCTCGCCTCCCACGCCGGCCGGGCCCGCCGGTCCGCGCGCGTTGTCTTAGGTGCTCCTGGTCCCCGGACGCTTCCCATAGGAGAATCTCACTGTCCCCGGGAGGAAACTGAGGCACGCAGAGATTCATAGCGTACTCAGAGCTGGCGGCTGCTGAAGTAGCAGAGCTGAGCTAAGAAACCAGTGGCCGGAGTCGTGGGGGAGGCATGTCACCCCAGCCTAGCACTCTAGGAGGCTGAGGCAGGAAGATGAAAAATTGGAGACCAGTCTAGACAACTTAGCAAGACCCCTGTCTCAAAATAAAAGAAATGGGGAAAAGAAAAAAAAAAAAAGGGATGGAGATGTAGGCTCAGTGCAGAGGCCCTGGGTTCAGCCCCAGTATCACAAAAAGGGGGAGGGGGTAGATCGGGAGTCTTGACCACCAGCCGCTTCCACCGGCTGAGCACACACCATAAGTTGCTTCCTGTGGGGCCTCAGGTTCTTCCTCTGAAAACCTAGCACGGTCACAGCGCTTATCTCCAGGGGTGTTGTGCAGTTTCAACAGGAAACTTTTCTCCCAGCAGCTGGCCCATACCTTTCACTCAGCGAACAGCAGGTATGCTAGAAAATACCGCCTGGCCGGGCGTGGGTGCTGCTGCGCGGCAGAGCGAGTGCCTATCTTGTGCGAGGCTGTGCGTCCTGTCCCCAGCACGGTGAATGCTGCTCGTGGAAGCAGTGATTCCTCTCTTCCTCCTTCGACCTTTCTGGGTCGCATTCCTGGGCCTGGGATACAGCAGCAGACAGCACAGCTCAGCAGCCCCGTCCGTGGAGTCTGGGTGCTAGGGGAGCGGACAGACGGGGACAGACTGAGGGCCGAACTCCATCAGGTCTGGAGGGATAGGGATTATGGGGGAATGAGCTGCAGTGTGGGGCCAGGAGAGACCGAGAGAAGTAGGGAGAGAGAAACAGACACAGGGTAATGGCAGAGGAGCCAGATGTGGTGGCATGCCGCACGCCTGTGATCTCAGTGCTCTGGGAGGCTGAGGCAGGACAGTCACAATTTTGAGTCCAGCTCTGGCAATTTCGTCACTTCGTATGACCCTATCTCAAAATAAGGAATGAAGAAAGGAAAAAGGGCTGGGGATGCGGGTCAGCAGGTCAGCATAAAGACTCTATTTTGATCCCCAGCGCAAAGAAAAAGAAAAAAAAAAAAAAGCCAGAGGATGAGAATCAGATGGATGTCAGACCAAGATGGGGGAGCAAAGGTCAGTGACAGAGGGGCCAGAGAGCCAGATGCGCAGAGGCGGAGCCTGAGCGGTGTCCTGGTCCCTAGCGGTGTCCCTCCAAGCTAGTGTCCCATGGGGCTCCCCAGCAGCTCTGGCCCCCGATCCTGGACACCCTGGTGTACTAGTAGGAAATTCCCCCTTTGGGTTGGCTGCCTTGGAAAATTCCGTCCCTGGCCACTGCCCTGATGCCAGGCGAGCCAGCTTGGGTGCCGGGTGGCTCTAGTCACCCTGGATGTGTGCAGTGCATTTCTGAATGAAATCACACAGGCAGGGCTCTTGGAAATCTCTGAAATTTCTGGCGTCCTTGTTCTGCTGAATTATTTCCCAACTGGGAACTTGTGGCCATGGCTTCGTTCCTTCTCTGGGTCATGCTGTCACCATTAGGGGTCTCCCTCCCCCCGCTGAGCTCCGCTCTTCCCCTGCTGATGTGTGACTTCACATCTGGGGTCCCTCACTCCTGCTCCTTCTCCTTCCCCCTGGGCATCTAACCCTTTGGTGGTCCAGATGGGTCCTGAGTAGTTTTATGCCATGAGATGATGCAGGCTGTCAAGTGTGCAGCTCAAGCTTGGTGATAAAGCCTGGCTGAGTGTAGTGGTGCACACCTGTTATCCCAGCTCTAAGGAGGCTGAGGCAGGAGGATTGCCACAAGTGAGACCCAGTCTCAAACAAAACTAAAGAGTGGGGACAAAGCAGAGTTGAGGGCAGGGATGGGGCAAAGGCTGAGTTAGGGGTCAGGAAGTAGGAAAGTCTCAGGGATGGGACTAAAATGTGGTGAGCATCAGCATGTAGTGAGATTTAGCAAGATGGGAAGAGGCTTCTGTGGCAGTTATTCCTGGCCAAAAATAGTCATTCAGCTGCTACACACTGGGAAGGCCCAAGGTCAGTGCTGCCAACTTGGCTGGATTAAGTAAGATGCTTGTTTCTGGTGGATGCAGGTAGGAGGAGCATGTGGTGCAGGGAGACTGCTATTGGTTGGGATGAGTGGGTGGAGCCAAGAAGCTGTGTAGTTCCCCTTCCCACTGCTCCCCACCTCTGAGCCCTGAGGAAGATGCAAGGGATTCAGGGAGAGGCTCCTCTCTGGGCTCCTACAGCCCTCAGGACTCCCCGCCTTGGGCCTTTAGCCTTCTGTATTTATTCAGCCAATACATATTTATTGAGCACCTACTATGTGCACACCCTGTCCCGGGTGTGGGAGACACATCATGTACAAGAGGTTGCATGCTGGGGCGGGAGGCAGAGACAGAAGGCACCGAGGGAGGCAGGTGCTGTGTCAGAGCAAGGTGGAGGCTACAGATACTAGATGCCAGGATCTCCTGACCATAGTCACACTGGGGTTGTAAGGGAAGGGAGCCAGCGATCAGAGGAGAGAGCAGCCAGGCTGCTCTGCAGAATGAAGAGAGCAGCAGGTTTTCATTGATTTTTGGAGTGAATTAAAGTCCAGTAATCGCCGTGGCCAGAGGCGCCGTTCTGAAAGACGTGGCAGACTTGGATCACAGCGGTCAGGGTCATCTCCCAGACGCGCTGCATTTTGTGTATCTGGCGCCGTTGTTCTGCACATCCTGGTCTTGTGCATGGTGGGCCAGCACAAGGTCTACTTCGCTCAGGATCTGCAGAGCTGCTCCTACCGCTGGCGTCATCTCCCGCACACACGCCCCGGCCTTGGGACAGGAAATGACGTGCAGTGCCCGGGCTGCTGAGGAAGCGGGACACAGCCCAGCACTCACAGGCCTAGCTCGCCTGTGTCCTGGTTTCCGACACAACATTTCTTGAACGGTCCACAAGTCCACGTGCAAAGCCCAGTAGAATCTGACCCCAGGGTCAGGACAGCACAGGGGACGGATTCGACAAAGGCACAAGTGCCAGGCCTTTTACCCCGTCCCAGTCGCCCAGCAGACAGCTGCAGGCCCCGTGAAGGATCGGTGTACTCAGCAAAAGCAGCCTCAGGTCCCCTGGAAGTAACCCAGGCACTGTTATCACAGCCCACACGCCGGCGGTGGGAGGTCATCCACGGCAGAGCCGTGGGAAGCTAGCTCTGTGTCGTCCGGCTGCCTGGCTCCAGAACTGATGGTTTTACAATAACTAAGAGCAAGCCGGTGTGGAGGGCTTATTTAGGCCTTTGTCTTGGAGTGGTTTCTCCATCCTGCAAACGGAGCCTCCTGTCCTACCCTCAACAGCAGGCCTGGTCCCTGGGGAGCTGTGATCGGAAGTGAGGTGGGCTGGTGATGGAGAGCACTGTGGAGCAGACCTGAGCAGGACTTAAATTAATCAACTGGCTTTTCATGTTCACTTGTGAACCTGTCCAAGGCTCCTTGTCTGGAAGTGGCGGACTCATAGTAAGTGGACCTCTGTGAGTCGCTAGTCCCTACTGAAACCTGTGGTGGTGGATGGAGCCAGAAAGCCTCAAAGGATAAGACAAGATCACAGCCAAGGACACCTGGATCTGATTTCAGCTGGATAAAGGCTATAGCCTCAGGCATCGCATTCTTGAGTGGACTAACTTCATACCTTACTTAGAGAAGTCCTTGAGTGGTTCTGCCCTTCTTGAGTACTCCGCTCCCTTCTTCTGATAACCGAATAAATATGGGTGACCCAGAGAAGGTCTTGGTCTTAGCCCTGAGAGAATTCTGTGAGAGGGCTCTGATCCTCCTGGAGCCCTGAAATCATTCCATTTGCTTCTTTTTATTTAACCTTCACTATACACTCATTCAGGAGATTGCGGACTTGATCAGCCCACAATGACTAAGGGATATTATTAACCCAATAGGCTGATTCCAGGCATGAGTTGCAAACTGTGTCTCACTCTTCTCTGGCTCTTCTCCAGTCACTATGGCTTCTGTCCCAGGGGTTGTTGCTCCTTCAGCCATGATACCAGGACACAGATATGTAGAGAAGACCCACAGCTGGCCTGCAGTCAACACTTATAACATGAGTGAGGAGTGACAGTATGCTCCACCAAGATTTGGGGGTTGTTCCTGCAGCAGAATCTGGTGGAAGCTGACATAGAAAAACCATCTCTGGGTTGGAGAGTTTAAGCAGAGATCCAAAACAAGTGAATTGTGGAAATCCTGGGCATAGGTGTTTCATACATAGCAAGTGCAAAGGCCCTGGGGCAGGAATGTACTTGAGGATTTGAAGAACAGCAAAAGGACCAGTGAGGCTGGAGTGGACAGAGGCATGAGGATAGTGAAAAGGACTGCCAGAGAGATAGGAAAGGGCCAGGTATGGCTGGGCCTTGAAGACCATGGTGAAGAACTGGTATTTCGTTGTTGTTTTTCTCCGGTACTGGGAACCGAACTCATGACCTTGCACTTGCCAGGCAGGCACTTTGCCGCTGAGCTAAATCCCCAGCCCTGAAGAGCTGGTATTTCATAGAAGCAGGAAGACTTTGGAGGGTGACGTTTGTGGCTGCTGTGTGGGGAACAGGCTGTAGGGGCTGAGGGTGGAAACTGGGAGGCAATGGGCTTGTCAAGGAGGCAGGGATGGGCTCATGCCCAGGTGGCCCTGTGTGGGGACTGACTGGATTTTAGATGTATTTTGCTTTATTTATTTTTGAGACGGGGTCTTGAACTCACAGTGATCCTCCTGCC